ACCTAAACCACCCAGAAAGCATAAAATGAAACGAGATGCTATGAATCAGTACAAAGCTGAAATGAAAGGCTGGCTGGATGGAATCTTTATTTAAGAATTGGTTAGACACGAAACTTCGTGATGATACTATTAAGCTTGGCTTCAAGCTCAGCTATTTTTTGGCTTGATTTCTGATAGCAACATGCACACTTTTGAGTAATCAATGCTGAACATAATATCTTTTAGATCGACGGACTCGTCTTCAACATCTAATCCCGCCCGATCAGTAAAATTGACAGTAGATCCTAAACCAAGCTTTATAGCATCTTGGGCAATGTATCCTATTTGTAACGGCACATCGTCTCCTTGGCTTTTTATAACGATACTGAACGGGGTTTAGATCCAAAATTGAATCTCCAACAGATTCATCTATTTGTTCGATATTCGTCTTAAATCGTTTATCGGATGTTGCGTAAAAGTCAGCCCCAGCTAACATGGCGTTCGAAGCTCTTATAGAAAGAGCTATTGAAGACAAAGGACCAATAGTAGAAACAAGACCGCCAGATCTAAGAAAATAGGCTACCCCCGTTCCAGCTATGTCCAAAGTCGATGAAACACTACCTGAAACGTCTAATATCGCCGATGGTGATCCAGTTCCAATACCGACTCTACCAGCCGGAGATTTCGTGTATTTGCAGTCATTAAAACCAAATCGTTGGTAGAAGTAGTTCTAAAATATGCACTATTAGTCGAGGTTGCATTTGTTGCATTGCTCAGTTGTAAGCCAAAACCAATAGGCGATGCGTTAGACGATTCCACGAAAATCGGCATATCATAGTTAGCGGTTCCATCGTTGAGTGCATTAGAGGCTTTAATATAAATATTTCCAGAATTCAGTATAATCTGAGCTGTTCCAAACGAACTAGTGTATGGCGTATTGGTATTAAATATCATCTTATTGATAGTGTCAGAAACAAGGTAAAGACAACCACTTGATGGTGTAGGAGACGATCCGGCAGGATTTATACAAAACGCATCTGCACTTATTGCTAATGTATAAGTATGAGGACAACCAGTTTTATACGGCTGAGTATTGCCAATATTGAAACAAAATCTGTGCGTTTGAGACGTAAATCCCACAGTTGGTTTATCGTTCCAATTGATAGTAAATAAATCAGCGCTTGTAGCAGAAACAACTCCAACGAATGAGCTCGGATTATCCGTTGATATTAAGCATCAGCTGTCATAGTGAGTCCATTAATGTTCAATGTAGAATAGCTAAGATTCAATATCGAGCTTCCAGCTCCATTATCTCCAATTATTGTATTACATGTAATAGAAGGTGAAGCAACTGATACTGAAGCAATAAAATTTCTTGTGATAGATAAATCACGAAGACCCGAATAGTCAAGAGTTGAATTCAATACAACCGCTTTTGACGCCACGGCTCCACCAAGAGTAACCCCAGTGTAGTAAGTATCGGGAGATGTAATTCCTCTAAACGTTAAATTCGGCACATTTAGACCCGTTCCAGTTGAACCTAGATCTAGTTGCAGACCAGATGCGGTGTCAGCTATTGTAACGTTACCATTAGTTCTTAGAGCTAATTGATGTGCTGTAGTGCTACCGATATCTTGAGATCTACCAGAATTTTGTATAGTAACGTTGAAACTTGACGATGAAGTAGTATTTGTTATACTAATCGGTGTTGTCCCATTTGAAATCGTTAGTGAAGCGGGCAGCGTCAAATTCCCAAGAGACGTGATATTTGGCTGTGCTGCGGTTTGAATAGTCCCAGTAATACCTGAAGCTGATAGATTATTGATACCGCTTACATTTAGAGATCCATTCACAGTTATTGCTTTATTCGCTTGAGCCACTCCTGTTGTAAGACCAATCAGATAGCTTGCTTCAGTTGAAGTTAGAGTTGAGCTTCCTAAGATTACAGTTGTTGTCTGAAGTGAATTTATTACGCTAATGTTGCTGCTTGAATCAAGAACAAGCGATTTGCTTGCGCTGGCAGCACCAGGAGTAACTCCAGAAAGATAACCAAGACCGGACAGATCTAAACTGGATCCGTTAATAGTCAGTGATCCACAATTCATATTGCCAATCACATTTAAAGCAGAGAGCGTTCCTACTCCGCCAAGTCTCAAATAGCGTTGATCGCCTGTGGTTAGTGTCAGATAGCCATTAGACGAGTTAAAGTATGAGCTATTGAATAGAGGAGAATTGATAATCGGAGGCAGAGACATTTTTGATCACTATACTATAAGATGCAAAATTTCTACGAATTGATACCGAAGTCAAAACTGAAGCGGTTCCCTAAGAACGAGCACTTTGAGCTGCCATTTCGCATGTGCGTGGCCTCTCCTAGTGGCTCTGGGAAGTCAAACACCGTTCTCTACATAATCGCCCTTCTTAGCAAATGCTTTACGAAAATCGTGATATGTACAAAGACCAATGAGACACTCTACGATCATCTAAAAGATACTATCGACAACGTCCAGGTAATTGAAGAAGGCCAAGTTTGT